ACTCACTATCTTAAATTCTTCCTTCCCCAGATCCTGTTGCCAGAAATCCATAAATTCCTGCGTAAGAAAATCAGCCAAATTGTCTTTCTTGCGTTCTGGTACAGCCCTGATTCTTAAATTTCTTTGTTTCTCTTTCAATTCAATCATAGACAATGTCAAACCGTGGTCCTCAAGTTGCTTATATACCGGCGGTATCTTCTCTTGAGTAGCAGTTGCTATATCTTTTGCTTCTTCAGCTATCTTTCGAGTCGAAGCAGATTCCTGTAATAATTTTTCAATAGACTCTGTGTTGGTATTCACCTTCTGTCCCAAATTATTAATGCTTGTAGTATTCTGGTCAATTTTAACTGATGCTTCAGCTACTCGTTTATTTGTTTCAGCTACTTGTTTAGCTAAATTTTCCAAAGATTCATTAATTTTTCCAAGTGCCTGTGCCAGAACGTCTTCGGACGACATAACTTTTGGTTTAACCTGTGGAGGTGCAGCCCCTGGTATTCCAGATGGTCCAGATGTTGAAGCCCTTCGCTGCAACGCAGGATCTATCCGATAGGGTCTGCCAGACCTAGTAGTTTTTTCCTCTATCTTTCCTCTCCCATCTGCCATAACACTCTCATGAAAGTCCAAGGTCGTTCCCACGACTGGAATTTGTTTTGGAATGGAAAGTTCCTCTGGCCCAGTTGTTATTGTAGCTATGTCAAGCCTCCTCTAGGGGGACACAGTAACAGCCAAAGCTTGCAACTTTTTTTAAAAAAAAGAAAATAGTCCTTATAAGTCCCCCAATTCACAAAAAACAACAGTTTCAGTTACACTTAATCAGTTACTTTAAAACCAGGAGAAGTTCAGAAACACTGTATCTCTTCTGCAGAGTTAACTGTCAAAAGTCAAAAGTCCTCTGCTTACCGAAAGGCTTTCCACAGAGCAAGGCAGTCCGTTCCCAGGTTTTAGGCAGTGGATTTTAGCTTCCTTTTTCCCTTTTTTTTTTTGCAGGTAAATACAGTTCAAACCTTTCCCCCCTCCTCTCCTGCAATCCGGAGGGGAGATCACTTTCCAGATGTTAAGATTTAAGTCTTTTTTTCCCCCAAACATCTTTCCAAGTTTCCGCTTACAGTCTCTTTGCTTTGATCTATTTACAAGAAAGGAAGGCAGACTTCCTGTTTATACCTTCCTGCTTTGGTGCCGAATTAACTTATTTTTTCCTTTAGTCCAATTTAATCCTACTCACGGGTAGTTGTTTTCAAAGTCAAATTGTCCCAGGAAGAAGTCAGCGCTCTCCGATAACGGCTATGCGGCTTCACTCCGCGGAAGAAGCAGTCGACTCTCAGCACCACGCTGCTCACCCCGTCTCGCTCCAGAGCCCTTAGAAGGGTCCCTTCGCAACTTGGGGGGGCGCAAAAGGTGCCCGCCGAGTCCCCATGTTCACAGGCTTCACCCGCCTGTGATTTTTAAAGGGTCCCCGCTTCGCCACAGCGGTCAGACCCGATCCCGCGGAGCTGGTCCCTCAGAGACTCAGAGGGAATCCGCCATTATCGATGGCGCCAACCCGGAAGTCTCCAATTCTTTTCCTATTCCCTTTCTGTGCTGGTTTCCCACTTATGGAATGCTGTCCCCAGGGGTCTCACCTGACATCTTCACAAATTCTCCTGAAGCAATATAGCAAACACTGTTCAGAGGCAAGGCCCTAGCTAAAGTTTAAGAAGAGGAGATGTGGAAGAACTAGTTCCTGCTCACAATATAGGAAAAACTACTCGCTTTGCATGCAACTTTCCCCTTCTTAATTCTTCCAGTTTCTTTTATAGCAAAACTGAATCAGGAAGACGGCTTCACAACTCTGTATTCGACAATAATTTGCATCTAAACACTCTCTCTTCCCCCACCAAATAGTTATTAAACATATGGTCAAATAATGCATTACACAGGTCAGGTGTCCTGCGTAATGCATTATTAAACCTTTTACTTCATCATGTTTCTATAGTGACATTTCAAGCCACAAACTTGTTTTGTTGCTTTTAAATCATTGTGTATTGACATGGTTTTGCATTTTTTAAAATAAATAAATACTGCCATTGCAAGAAGAAGAAGAAGGAGAAGGGGATGGAGGAGACAGTTATTGATGGCTGCTAGCCAGGATGCCTAGGGATGCGGGTGGCGCTGTGGGTTAAACCACAGAGCCTAGGGCTTGCCGATCAGAAGGTCGGCGGTTCGAATCCCCGCAACGGGGTGAGCTCCCATAGCTCGGTCCCTCTCCTGCCAACCTAGCAGTGCGAAAGCACAAAGTGCAAGTAGATAAATAGGTACCGCTCTGGCGGGAAGGTAAACGGCGTTTCTGTACGCCGCTCTGGTTCGCCAGAAGCGGCTTAGTCATGCTGGCCACATGACCCGGAAGCTGTACACCGGCTCCCTCGGCCAATAAAGCGAGATGAGCGCTGCAACCCCAGAATCGGCCGCGACTGGACCTAATGGTCAGGGGTCCCTTTACCTTTACCTAGCCAGGATGCCTATGCTTTTGCCTCCACAGAGCATCTGAATCTCAGTTGCTGGAAAAACACAGGAGCGAGAGAGGGCTTGTTGGTTTTTCCACAGGAACCTGGTCACTCACTGTGAGAAGAGGATGCTAGACTAAGTGGGCCATTGGCCACATCCAGCATGTCCTTCTTATGTTCTTAAATGGGACCAATGTAAACAAACATACGTGCATATACTGTCACCCAGAGTGAACAGCGGTTGAATGGCTGCCCACAATGCACCCACAGAGCATAATGGTGTGGCCTTGGAGACTGATGGAATCTGAGAGATTCCTAATCGCTCTGGGGGGATCTTTCAGTGGATTGAGCAGGTGATCTTGCTGAGGCCCTAGTTCTGTTTTGCTTAAAAGGTAAAGGAACCCCTGACAGTTAAGTCCAGTCGCAAACGGCTCTGGGGTTGCGCACTCATCTCGCTTTATTGGCCGAGGGAGCCGGAGTACAGCTTCCAGGTCATATGGCCAGCATGACTAAGCTGCTTCTGGCGAACCAGAGCAGTGCACGGAAACACCGTTTACCTTCCCGCCAGAGCGGTACCTATTTATCTACTTGCACTTTGAGGTGCTTTCGAACTGCTAGGTTGGCAGGAGCTGCGACCGAGCAACGGGAGCTCACCCCGTCATGGGGATTCGAACCGCTGACCTTCCAGTCGGCAAGCCCTAGGCTCAGTGGTTTAGACCATAGCGCCACCCGCGTCTGCTTTGCTTAGGGGGTGGCTATATGGCAATGAGCATGCACCCTGATTTGATTGCAAGGCTTTCACACACCTTCCTGACAATGATTTGTTCATTCCACACTTTGCAATGCACTTCCCTGTTGATTTCCAAACAGCAAAATGGACCTCCCCCTCTATTTAAAGTGGATTTGTTGCTTCAATCCACTTCATTTGCACAGACTTAAAAGCTTTGAATCCCTCTCTAAACTGAGATAATAATAAAAAAATTATTATTATTAATAATAATATAAAATAATAATAGCTGGACCATAAAGAAGGCTGATCGCCGAAGAATGGATGCTTTTGAATTCTGGTGCTGGAGGAGACTCTTGAGAGTCCCATGGACTGCAAGAAGATCAAACCGATCCATTCTTAAGGAAATCAGCCCTGAGCGCTCACTGGAGGGACAGATCCTGAAGCTGAGGCTCCAATACTTTGGCCACCTCATGAGAAGAGAAGACTCCCTGGAAAAGACCCTGATGTTGGGAAAGATGGAGGGCACAAGGAGAAGGGGACGACAGAGGACGAGATGATGGGACAGTGTTCTCGAAGCTACCAGCATGAGTTTGACCAAACTGCAGGAGGCAGTGGAAGACAGGAGTGCCTGGCGTGCTCTGGTCCGTGGAGTCACAAAGAGTCGGATACGACTAAACGACTAAACAACAACAAAATAATAATATTAATTTATTATTCATGCCCTGCCCATCTGGCTGCCCCCCCCCCCAGCCACTCTGGGCGGCTCCCAACAGAACAAATATCAAACATTAAAAACTTCCCTAAACAGAGCTGCCATCAGATGTCTTCTAAAAGTCAGATACTTGCTTATTTCCTTGACGTCTGATGAGAAGGCGTTCCACAGGGTGGAAGCCACTACTGAAAAGGCCCTTTGCTGCAGGCATCTTGAGTTTCTAATCTTTCTAATCTCCCTTCCTCATTCATGGACAGGTAGGGAGAGTCCCATAGAGGCATGTAACTTTCTAGCAGCATTGCCCAGAGAAATGCTTGTGCAATTCGAAATTCCCCTGAATTACAGGTTTTTATTCTTTCTGCTTGCACTTTTACAAAAAAAAAATGGTCCATCTCTGTGAGGGGGAGGCTCCTTGGATTTATAGGCAGCACTTAGGATGCCCATCCACTTCTTTACAGAACCAAAGTACCAGGAGCAGCAAAGTCAACGACGGCCGTCAGCTCCCAAATGGGCCTCTTTGGAGTGTTGCCCTTCTTGCTGGTCTCCTGCATCACCTTCTTGCTTATCCTAATCCGGAGGAGAGATGCCACAAAGGGCAAACTGCCCCCGGGCCCCACCCCATTGCCTTTGCTGGGCAACTTGCTCCAGTTGAATATTTGGGACATCATCGCGTCTTTTCGGAAGGTGAGTGTGGGTCTCTGCTGCGCAGCGTTGGGGGGGGGGGGGAGACAAGGGGGCCATGGCCCAAGGCTCACAATTTTGAGAGGGTGTGAACCACATGCCCCCATGCACGGATCCTCGTCCTGAGGTGTGATTGATTGATTGATTGATTGATTGGTCTCTTGATTTATTACTGCAGAAAAAGAGGAAACTGCCTTATACAGATTCAGATTACTGATCCATCTAGTCAATTTTTTTCTGCTCTGCACTGTCCGGCAGCAGCTCTCCAGGGCTTTAGATGGCAGGGACTGGACCTGGGACCTTCTGCATGAAAAGCATGTGGTCTTCCACTGAATCACACCCTTTCACGCTGTTGCTTTCCACCCAAGTATCAGGTGTGTTCTTTGTCTCTTGGCAGCTGCGGGAGCAGTATGGTCCAGTCTTCACTGTCTACATGGGCTCCCGGCGAATTGTGGTGCTGTGCGGTTATAAAGTCATCAAGGAAGCGCTTGTTGATAATGCAGAAACATTTGGAGGAAGGGGACCGATACAGGTCTTGGATGACACCTTGGCAAAATACGGTGAGTGGCAGCATGGAAACAGAAATTTGCCTTGCAATGTTAGAGGAAGGCTTTTAATTAATTAATTAATTAATTAATTACCATATTTTTCGCTCTATAAGATGCACTTTTCCCCTCCTAAAAAGGGGAAATGTGTGTGCGTCTTACGGAGCGAATGCAGGCGGGAGGCTCTGCTCAGCGCTCCCTTTAAAGAGCCGCGTGGAGCATGTGTGCGGCTCCTGGGGGCTTTTCCCCCAGGAGGAAGAAGGGCTGCCCTTCTCCCTCCTTGGGGAAAAGCCCCCAAGAGCCACACACACACACACACTCCATGCATTCTTTAAAGGGAGCGCGGCTCTTGGGGGAGCCTTAGCCACGCACAGCCTCTCCCGGGCAGGGGATGAAGGCTCCCCTTGCCTGGGAGAGGCTGTGTGCGACTATCCCATAAGCCAGGACAGCAAGCGGGACCACTGTGCAGCAATCCCTTTTGCTGTTCTGGCTTCTGGGATTCAGATTTTTTTCCCCTTGTTTTCCTCTTCCAAAAACTAGGTGCGTCTTATGGTCTGGTGCGTCTTATAGAGCAAAAATGTGGTGATTGGTCAATCTGTATACCACCCTATACCCCTAAACCTCAGGGTAGTTCAGGAAGGGCTGTGGTGGAGTACCTGCTTTTGCATGCAGGATGTCCCAACTGGAGTCTTTGGCATTTGCACGAGCAGCTGCCAGTCAGTTTGCTGAGTTAGATGGACCAGGAGGTCTGACCCGGTGGAAGGCATTCCTCCATTGCTGAGGGCTGGACCAGAAGACCAGGGGGATCCCTTCCAACTCTATGTATCTAAGGAAGATTTCTATGTTCCTTTTCTTCCTGTTATCCCTTTCCAGCTTTGTGAATGTGCCGGGAGTGATGGGAGACAAGGGTGAGGCTTAAAGAATCACGAGCTGTCTGAAGAGAGGTGCAGGCATGAATTTGTCTTGTTCCGTTGTGCCATCTCCAGGGGTAGCACTACAAAACTTGATTTCCTCTGGATGACAGAAATCCAAAGATTTTTTAGGTCTTCTATGACAGTGCTTCCTAATTACCTAATTCCTAAGGAACACCATGGAGTTTTCTTGGCAGGGATACTGGAGTGGCTTGCCGGTTCCTGCTCCAGGTGGATCACGTTTGGTCAAAACTCTCCACTATGACCTGTCCATCTTGGGTGGCCCTGCACGGCATAGCTCATAGCTCCTCTGAGTTACTCAAGCTCCTTCGCCACGGCAAGGCAGTGATCCATGAAGGGCAAGGCAGTGATCCATGAGTTTGACCAAATTGCGGGAGGCAGTGGAAGACAGGAGGGCCTGGCATGCTCTGGTCCAGGGGGTCACGAAGAGTCGGAAACGACTAAACAACAACAACAACAACAAGGAACACCTGTTTTTCAAAAGCCAAGCTACGAAGCCCCTACTTTTGAAAATTTTGATAACTCTATGGTAGTTACCTGTGCAAAGCAATCTTTTGAACAAAATGTGGGGTAGCCTAGCCTAATAAACAACAAATAATAATAATAATAATAATAATAATAATAATAATAATTTATATCCCACCCTCCCCAGTCGAAGCTGGGCTCAGAGCGGCTAACAATAGTAAAATGATAAAACATTCTAAAATCATTTCATTATAAAATTAATTCCAATCAAATTAATGGCAACCATTTGGCTAGACGTTCAGTGAGGATTGCTAAAGGAGGGAGTCAGGCTGTGCCCTGGCCAAAGGCCTGGTGGAACAGCTCTGTCTTGCAGGCCCTGCGGAAAGATGTCAAGTCCCGCAGGGCCCTAGTCTCTTGTGACCAAGTCGGGGCCACAGCTGAAAAAGCCCTGGCTCTGGTTGAGGCCAGCCTAACCTCTCTGTGGCCTGGGACCTTCAAAGCATTTTAGATATACTAAAAACAGACTAGGACTGAGCGATATCTGGTTTTCAACATCATGATAAACTAGGAGCTAAAGACTGCAAAATTCTGATATATCACGATGTCTGAAATTGGAGAACAGGCGTGGGGATGATGGAAGGATCGGATGAGTGCACCAAGCCTCTGTCAGCGGGAAGCTAGTGAAGATGAACATACTCTGTGGCTGCTGCTGCTTTCCTGCTGGCAGAGAAAAGTTGCTCTGCCTTCTGGTAGTGCCATGGTGCCTTGAAGTGAAGGCGATCAGCTGCCCTGTTCTCCATCAGTGTGAGGGGAAGGGAGAGCTTTGCAATAGGCTGCCTTGTTTTCCCTCAGTGTGAGGCAACTAAGATTAGCAGCGTTATCGGTATATTGCTGTGCATTGCTGGGTCAAAATCATGATTGCAGTGTGATTTCAAAACTGATTTTGGCCAATAAACTGAAAAATTGCGCAGCGCTAAAACAGTCCATAAAATCTGTTATGATACCATGCAAAAATGGCATTAAATTAGTTTGGGGGGAGGCAAGGGATGGGGCCGCAGTCTCCCTGGGTACGTTCCACAGACCTCCAGGGGTCCCGGGACCCTGAATTGGGAGCTCTTTTCAGCCTGAAAACTGCATTCCCCCATAGGGGGGACTTTCCAAGGATGTTCACGACACTGGTGGGTGGAGCTGCAACCAGGAGACGGACGGACAACAGGAAAAGGTTTCCAAGGCCAAACATCTCCCAACTCGTTCCATTCTTAATCTACCCCTGCTTCACTTTCACCTCCTTTATTTCTCTTATTTTACTGCTTTGCTACTTCTTTCATTCTGCCATTTTTCTCTTCTGGTGTTTTCCGTGTTGCCTTCTCTGATTTGTGGAGCGTCTCTCCATTTCCAGGAGTGGTTCCAACCAACGGAGAACGTTGGAGGCAGCTTCGTCGCTTCTCCCTTCTAACACTGAGGAACTTTGGGATGGGGAAGAGGTCCATCGAGGAGCGGATCCAGGAGGAGGCCCAGTTCCTGGTGCAAGTGCTGCGGAAAATGGAAGGTGAATGTTCTTGCCACTCGTCTATGCTTTCCCTCAGCAGGCTGAAAAGGTTTAATATTGCCACAGTAGCCAAGAGAAGGAGTGCTCTTTTTTCTAAGAAAACAAAATGGAATTCTGCTCAGATTTGGCGAATCTCCCAGATACATGCCTTTTGATTCTTTTGCTGAATGTCCTTCCATCTTCCTAAAGTTAGGGCTGCCATACACCTGTATTTTCCCAGACACAACTGGGATTTGGGCAGCAGAGTGGCGTCTAGGCAGATTTTTGGCGAATTGGCAAAATGTCTGGGAAAACCCAGATGTATGGCAAGGCATAGCTGTCAACGTTTCCCTTTTTTAAGGGAAATTCCCTTATTCCGAATAGGATTCCTTGCAAGAAAAGGCAAAAGTTGACAGCTATGATGGCAAGGGAGGGGTAATTTTTTAAATAAAATCCATAAAAATGACCAAAAAGCCCCAAAACTTAATATTTTGGGGGAGATGTTCCCCAAAACTCAACAACTTTGTCTGGATCTTTTGGGAATATGGCAACCCTACTAAAAAGCCCATTCATGATTTTTAACTGAGTTGAGTTTTAGGTGCAGAATGTTTGTGTGTACACACAGACTAGATAGATTTCAATTAAGACCCAGGGTCTGTGTTCCTTTGGAGAATTGGGATATGGCGGAGACCATTGTAGCTTTAAGGAAGTCCAGATCTTGCAGCATGATCCTTCAAGCGGATCCCGCCCAAGATGGATCCCAGTCTTTCTTCTTCCTTCTTCTTCCCAGCAACCCTTGCTGAAGTCACCCTTTTCCTGTCACCTCACACCCAGTTCCCTGGCCACCTTCCATATCCCCAGTCTCCGTTCCCACCTCAAGGCAAGGGGTGGGGGGCAGTTCACAAATTACAGAGGAAGGAAAGAAATAGAACCATAGCAACACCAACACTGTTTTTCTGAGGAGCTCATCCTCATGAGCATTACCACTCCAAGACATTTTGACACATGACTAAAAGACCAAGATGGCGCCCCACCCTTTTCACATAAAGAAATCAACCAAACTGGCCATTGACTCTTATTTTAAGACTAGTCACCATGACCATGATGCTTGAAACAACAATAAACTAAGGTGTTTCAAGACTAGCCACAAGATCATTTTCTCCATTACACTTGAAGGATACCAGGGTGAGGTAAGCCTGACAGGACAGCTTACTCTATGGTCTTAAGCCCTTCATGTGTTAATTAGACTTAATCATGTTGGTTATATGAGGCTGGTTATCTCACAACCTTGATATGTACTGCACAGCTGCAGATATCTGAACAGCCCGAGTTTGCCCACTCTGCAGCAGCCATGTTCCAGCAGAAACCATGCATGGAGGGAGGGAGAGTGGTTGGATAAATCAGAGAGTAGTAAGGATTGGACAAATCCGCTTTTGCTTTGACTCTCTTTTGCTGGTTAGCAGCAGCCATTTCAAGAAGAAACTATGGAGGGGTGGGGGCCAGAGACACTGGACAAATCACAGATCAGAAATGATTGCATAGGAAAGAATGGAAATTTTCAGCCCATTATGTGAAAACTCCTTTCCCCCTCCGCAGGGCACCCATTTGATCCAACCATTCACCTCAGTCATGCCATCTCTAACGTTATCTGCTCCATTGTTTTTGGTAACCGGTTTGAATATGAGGACAAGGACTTCATCTTTTTACTTGACACGATTAAGAAAACCTCATCAATTATGTTGTCCACCTGGTTACAGGTAAGGAAGTGGTGGGAGGTCTCTTGGATGTCACAGGCTGCTTCCTGTATAACCACAGGAAGGAAAAGTGTTACCTGGTTCATGCCCTCAGCTGCCTCTGCCTATATTTCTCATAAACTTAATTGCTCAGTTTGCTTCTGGAGGATGGGACATGGTTCAGGAGCTGAATATTAAGGTCCAGACCATGGGATGCATGGCAATAAGGAAGGGTAGGTCTTGATGAGGCTGCATGTCCTTTTTCTTCACAGATCTGCAATTTTTTCCCAAGCTTAATGTGGATCCTGCCTGGGCCTCAGCAAAAATTGCCCAGGTACACGAAGAAGTTAAGAAACTTCATCTCTCAGAGGGTCGAGATGCACCAGGAGTCCTTCGATCTAAATTGCCCTCGGGACTTCATTGACTGCTTCCTGGCCAAAATGGAGCAGGTAGCAGTATTTGGGATTTGTATGCTAACTCTATTGTTTTATGACATTGCTGTGTCTTCCTCATCTCCCCTGTGACTCGAGGACCTTTGTGGTCTCTTCCAACCTACAATTCCATTTCTCCCTAGGTTCTGCCAAGCTCTCCCTAGCTCTCATTTCTTTTGTAGAAGACACAACTGGGGAACCAGCACAACATGCTAGATATGCCCTCAAACACTTGCCACCACTCTTTGAATTAACACCTTCCCTGCTCAATGGCTAGGTTCTACCTGCACAGTTCTCCACTTGTTGTAGTTTCACCTGGTTCCTGAGCTTGTGAGCTTCCCATTGGCATGTGCTGGTCCCGGGGGGAGGTTACCGTGAGGCGTGTTCAGAGTCCGGTCCTGGGTCGAGGGTCTGGAGACTGTCCACCAAGGGCGAAGCGAGGTCCAAAGCGAGGGGCCGGGCAAGGTCGGGAACTCTGGAAGAACAGGTCTGGGTGCTGGCTGAAACAGGTTTCCAACGACGTTGCTCCTGCAACCTGGGACCGGGCTGCCTGGCCTTTATCTTCTCTAAGGCCAGGGGCGGTCCCGGCCCACAGGTGACCCGCCTCTCCTGGCCTTAAGGCGAGCACTCCTCCTGAGAGAACCCAGTTCCCTCCGCCTCTCTGCCCTGAGCCTCTGCAGCTCAGGAGAGGCTGGAGGATTACTGGACACAGGGGGAGGCTCACCTTCCCCTGACAGGGCTGGGAGAGGCGCACCTGCAGGCAATGGGTCCTCAATCACCTTCAGAGCCAGAGTGGATTCATCTGCTCCTGAGGATCCGGCACAGGTGCAGGCGCTTCAGATTCAAGCCCCAGCCCCAGCTCTGCCAGCCCTGGAGGCAGGGACTCCTGTGCAGGCTGGGATTCCTCAGGTTCAGCCTCTGAATCAGATTCCCAGGCCATCACATGGCATCTGTTTGGCCATTGTGAGATGCTGGACTTGATGGGCCAGCAGGATGCTGCTTCTCATACCTCTGTAATTCAGCGTTATTTTTTATCAGTCTATCCTGTGATACTTTGAAATCTTGCCAGCCAGCTTTCCATAAAACCATTCTGTAGATGTACAAATTAGCCCCAGGTTTGATAACATTGCTCTTTTCTTCTTCTTCTTTCTGTGTCAGGAGAAAACAAACCCAGCTTCAGAATTCATTCATGAAAACTTGGTTGCTACAGTTCTCAACCTGTTCTTTGCAGGGACAGATACAACCGGCAGCACCATCAGACAGGGGCTTCTTGTCCTCCTCCGATACCCAGAAATGGAAGGTAAGAAAGCAAAGTCAAATCTGTCGCGCTCACTCTTGTTTCCTGTCTGTGTGGATGGCTGATGGGTTCCTCCCTTGCTAAATAAACCAGGACTCTCTTTTTCCAGCTCTAACTGATGGGATCTTCTCCCTTCAACTGGGTCAGAACCCTAGTTCCTTCCTTTGATCACACTGGGACTTATAGGAACCAACTTGAAGAAAATATTGGAGGTGTGCAACCAGGGTTTTTATTCCAGGGGGAACACACAGGAACTCAGTTCTGGCACTTCTCAGGTGGCTGCCACTGCCATTCTAAGAGAACAAGGTGAGTTCCGGCACCTCTTTTTCTATAAAAATAGCACTGAGGGCAACCTTCCACTCCTGTACTTCCCCTGCCTCCACACTGCTGCAGAGCACGTCTTCCTTTGCCATGTGCAACTGTCTGTAGGCCTCTCCTGCTCCCTGACTGCATGCAAGAATGGTCCTTTCCATCTCCTTCTACATTCTTCTGGTAACCGGAGAAGCCAGAGAACAAGCCTTCTACATGCAAAGCAGGGAGGTCCATCTTGCTCATACTTTCTTTGCTGCCTTGATATTAAATTGATGTAGGGTTTTACAAACCTCTAAACTACTGAGCCATGTTTCCTCCTCCTATAATTATATCTAACAATTCCTATGGCCTGTTAGCTCTAATCCCACTGCATTGTTTATAGCAAACATCCAAGAGGAGATAGAGCGGGTCATCGGGAGGAACCGCAGCCCCTCCTATGAGGACCGGAATCAGATGCCCTACACAGAAGCCTTCATCAGTGAGATCCAGCGGTTTCTAGACATCTCACCAGTGGCAGCTCCTCATATGGTCACCCAGGAAGCACATTTCCGAGGGTTCACCATTCCCAAGGTAAAGTGAGTCGTGTGACTAACAGAAATATTAGTTCAGATTTACGCCTGCAGCTTAGGGCTTATCCACACTTACCTTTTGCCCCACTCTTTCCAGACAAACGTCTGCGTTTAGAAGCTCCATGTTTGGGTTTTGTTGCTTTTTGCTCCACAAAAACTTGCTCTTTGCCGCTCAGTTGGAGCAAACATCCATTTGGGTTTTCTGTGGGTTGCCATTTGCTCCAATTGAGCTTTAAAGAGTGGTTTTTTACACGGAAAGTTCCCGAGCAGCAACAACAACATGAAGAACAAGAACACAACACTCAGACATGGAGCATGTACCGTGCCTGGAAAGAGCGGAGGAAAGGTAAGTTTGGATAAGACCTTAGAGATGGAGGTGTGCACGTCTGCTTTCCAAACAATAGCCAGGTATTCACATCACCATGAGTTCAAAATCTACAGTGGCCCAGATGTAGAGGAAGCAGAAGGAGGAAGCATCTAGAGGAAGAAGGAGGTGTCAGTTTGCAGCACCCAAAGGACTAAGTAGAGAGGCAAGATAGCCAGAGTTCAGATTTCCCTAATTGCCTAAAAGCAATCCCTCATCAGTGGGAAAGGACTCTAGGAGGGCAGTGATGTACATCCCTATACATAATTACATCCTGTAATAACTGCACTAACCTACCTTAGATTACTTCAGCCATCTTTACTCCTATATCTGAAGTAGTTTGAACTAAAATAATGCTAGTATTTTAAAGGAAACATAAGAAGAACCTACTTGATGAGGCCACAGGCCCAACAATTCTAGCATCTTCATCCCACAGATGCCCATGTGAAGCGTACAGGCAGAACTGGAGGACAAGAGTCCTCTGCGCGCTTGTTTCAGTCCAGCCACTGGTGCTTTGAGGCATGCTGCCTTTGACAGTGGAGGGAATGTTGTGTTGAGACATTCATTCCCAGAAAGAACACTCAAAGTTGCTAAAAGTTACTGGAAGTTTCCAGAAGCTGTGGGAATGCTGGTTTGTTTACACCAGGGGGCAAGGTCATCACGGTGAGAACTGTTCCTACACATGCACAGCTTCTGTGCTGGAAGAATGAGAGATTGTTTCGTTTGCACTCAACTCTCGAACTGGAAGGATGTAATCTGGAGAGGTGGGGTCTTGAGGTGGGGCCCTGCAGCTACCCAGGGCAAGGCCTGCAATGTTTTAACTGAACCTCTATCAGGGCTCCGATAGAAGCTTGTTTCCCGGTATAGTTCTGTAACTGTTACAGTTTTCGAACGGTTTCAGGAGTCGAATGGACTCCTGGAACAGATCAAGTTCGAGAACCAAGGTACCACTGTATGCCCCTGGCTCCTGCCAAGCCATGAGACTCTTCCCAGGCCACATGTAGTGATTCAGATAAATTGAATGATTCCCTATGGAGGGTACCATCTCCTAATCAGCAGAGCATTGTCCAGTCCTTAAGGGATTTGAACCAGGGATAAAGGCAGACTAAAGAGGAAATATCTGAACTGGGCCAGTTGCAGTAACCGTTGCCTCCGGGGTCTCTGTCTTTCCTCTGCAGGGCACCACCGTTATTCCTTTCCTGTCATCCATCATGAAGAGCTCCAAGTACTATGAGACACCCAGGAAGTTCAATCCTGGCCACTTCCTGGATGAAAACGGGGCCTTCAAGAAGGTGGAAGCCTTTCTGCCATTCGGAGCAGGTGATGGGCCTCTGTTTTATACGTCCAGAATAGAGAGGAGGAGCGAATGAGAGGGCTGGCTTGGTTTAACCTTAGGAGGAATCTAAGGATCTGTAGTGGGAAAGAGAGGGGGATGCAAAAGAAGAGCAAAAAATGTTGGATCGTATGGCCTGGGAAATATTGGGTTAGGACTCACCCTGTATATATAAATGGAACTCCTGTTTCTTGCTTTTCCAGGAAAAAGAGCTTGCCCTGGTGAAAGTATGGCCCGTATGGAGATTTTTGTGTTCCTTACAACACTGTTGCAAAACTTCCATCTGAAAACGCCCAAGCAGCGGGAAGAAATTGACATTGCACCAGGAGTGGAAAGTAATGGACACGCTCCCCGGCATTATCAGCTTTGCGTGGTTCCATGGTGAATGGTCCTTGATGCAAGAGAGCTGAAATCTCTGGGAGACTCGGGGGGACTGTCCCTTGTGTGTGTTTCTTCTTAATCTGAACTCCTTTCTGTCTCTCTGATTTGGTGATAATATTGACACAATGAAGGTTTGTGTCTGAATAACTGCTTTGAAAACCTTCAGCATAGATTTCAGTGTAAACGTTTTATGGTTGAAAAACTGTTTTGAAAATCTCTAAGACTAAATTGCCGTATGCACAGATCTCAATATAAAAGGAGTCTGCCCATTCTGAATTTCTTCTGTTTCTGATTGTTCTCATGGTAGAAAAAGGTAAAAGGATTATTACCCAGGAGAAGAAAGGAAAGATCTTGAAAGTTAAAGTGAACTTCATAATTTGAATATCAAAGAAATGACAACTGAGGTAGTTCACTTAGGGGGAAAAGTTGAGGTATTGAATTTGAAACTCAATCAGGCAAATGAGACAAATTTGGACTTACTAAAGGAGCTTGATAATCCACAATGTAAGCCTAGTCTTAACCCTAATGGAATTCCAGAAGGGGATAAGGTAGAAGTTCTTGTACATATAGACTCAGTGTTCTGTCTTAGTATACATATGCATTCGAAGTAATAAAAAAAAGAGAGATACAAAGGCAAAAATGTCCTTCCTTAGAGCAAGTCAAATGATAATAAAAGGATTTAGGGGGAAGGAATCATGGAATGGCCCCTCCAGACATTATTTTTACTGAGCATTGCTCATGATCTGTGCTCGTGGTGCAGTTGGGGTGGTCATAAGTGCCTGGCGTGCTCTGATCCATGGAGTCACCAAGAGTCAGACACGACTAAATGACTAAACAACAACAACAACATATTGAATCATGATTTCAGTACTGTTTGCTCCTGCAAACACTTACAGGCATTCGTATTTTGCTATTTGCAAGAGGTCTCCTGCTAAAACCATGGGACTTTTCCAGGTCTAAAACATCAGTATTTTAAAATAATAGCCATTCCCTTAGCCAGCATAGACAGGATGCCTCATATCATAAATCTGGCAGGGGGAATCTGCCTCTGTCTTTAGAGTCTACCAACAATTTGTATTTGCATATAAATATATGTTGCATATGAAAATAATGCACTGATGGCATTTAACTCCTAGTAAATTACCACAAATGGATAAAACATGCTCAAATGTATGCTGGAAATGTAAGGAAAAAGAAGGCTCCTTCTATCATATGTGGAGCAATTGTAAGGTAGTAAAAGGGTTTTGGGAAATGATATATAATAAGTTGAAAAAATGTTTAAAATAACCTTTGCTAAAGAACCTGAAGCTATCTTTTTAGGAATTCTAGGTGCTGAAATCCCTAGGTATCAGAAAAGACTATCTATGCGACCATGGCTGCATGGATGTTATTGGTCCAGAGATGGAAAAAATATAAAGTTCCTACCAGAGAAGAATGGCACATGAAGTTGCTGGATTATGCTGAAATGGCAAAATGACTGGAAGAATCAGAAATCAGGAAGACTGAAATTTAAATAAGGAATGGGGGAAATTTATAATTTATCTTAAAGACCATTGTAAACAGTTAAAATGGTTAATAGGGTTGGAATATCTCTTGTAATTTAAGGGTGGATTCCAGACACAGTGGAGATGTAAAAGATTTGGATCATCATAAAAGATGCGGGAGGAAATGAACAATAATAGGACCCACAAAGGGGAGGATGGAAGACCAGGAGATTCCTTGCAATCTTGTTTTTATGATTAATATTTGATATATCTCTGCAAAATTTTAATTTGAAAAACCAAGTAAATATTTTTTTAAAAAACCATCCTGGGTCTTTTCACATGACAGATGTTGTGGAGCATTGCTTTATATCTTGCTTTCGTTGTGCTATAGCCTCAAGTGTGCCCCTCTTGGCAGCAATCATGTGGTTGCATTGGGAAAACGTTGGAGAATTACTAATAAAGTGGAATGCTGCGTGGGTAAAAAGGAAAAGGGACCCCTGACCTTTAGGTCCAGTCGTGGCCGACTCTGGGTTTGCGGCGCTCATCTCTCTTTACTGGCCGAGGGAGCCGGCGTACAGCTTCTGGGTCATGTGGCCAGCAGGACTAAGCTGCTTCTGGCGAACCAGAGCAGCGCACGGAAACGCCGTTTACCTTCCTGCCGGAGCGGTATCTATTTATCTACTTGCACTTTGACATGCTTTCGAGCTGCTAGGTTGGCAGGAGCTGGGATCGAGCAACGGGAGCTCACCCAGGGATTCGAACTGTCGACCTTCTGATCAGCAAGCCCTAGGCTCTGTGGTTTAGACCACAGCGCCACCTGCTGGTAATCCAGTATAAATCCCTTGAGAATGCATTATTATTGCATAAATGGCATGCTGCAGAATACACCCACAAAAAAGCACCAGTCTGGGGAGCAATCTTAAATTCCAGACAACAAAGTGAGGCATCTGATCAAAATCTGCTTTGAGCTTAAAAAATTATATTTGTAAATATATTTTTCTCTCATGCCAGGGAGAAGACCAGCTTGAATACTCTGGCAGCTGTTCAAGGGCCCCACTGCTATAAATAGCAGTATTTCAGGGTTGTAAAAAGTATTTCAAGGTTGTAAAAGGAAATTAGAGCCAGAGAGCAAAAGGTCACACTGACCAGAATACAATCAAGCTGTAAAAACACAATTAAGAACTGGTAAATAGTGAAATTTATTGTTTAACAGAAGACTCGAGCCATAAGGTTAAAGGTTAAATGGAAGAAACAGCTGCTGGTTAGGGAAAAAGGTTTCTTTATAGAACTAAGAGAACTTAGCTTTTACTAAGTTCCTTCTAATTTGAAAAGGCCTTTCCTTCTAAAAATCTATCTATGTTATGTATGAAATATATTGGCTTAAATGTAATTATGCAAAGGATTTAGAAAGTAAGAAATGTTAGATTCTTATGTTAGATTCCTATTATGGTGGGTGAGAAGGTGAACTCAAGATCTCTTTAAGATAAAAAAATTAGAAACCATGCACCATCTGCTTTAGCCATCTGGTTTGCGGTGAATAGGGCAACAGGGGCCAAAGGTTATCTGGTAATTGAGGTGCCTGGTCGAGGTAAATGTAAGATATATGGCTACTTGTCTGCCATTTATGGATACAAGGAAATATAGCTTTTTGTCTCCCATAAAAGGAAATAGGAAATGGGTGTATCTTTTATGATTGGTTCTAGCAAACAACCAATAGGAATTTCAACCAGGCTGATTGGACAGAGGCAGCCAAAGGAGGAGCAAGGGGGCTGGGCTGAGGAAATATAAGTGCTGGCCATCAGGGCTGGAGTAGGCAGAGCTTTGGTATCCATATACCACTGTGTCTCTCATTTATTTGTCTGACAAATAAATTATTATTTTAATTTCTCTATTGCTGCGTTGAATATTTCATTCCAGCTAAGCGTTAACCACAAGCAGGGTGCTACATTTTATGGTGCCTCTGTGACTCGGATAAGTGGTCTGCTGGAACGCAGCCCCTTCGCCCTAGCGGGCAGGGTACAAGAGGGAGGACCACTGACCGCTTACCCAGCGCGCACTGGAACATTTTTCCAGGGGAACGCAGAAGTCTCGTCTGTCTGATACCCTGCTCACTGGCGGCGACGGACCGGGGGTAACCAGAGAAATAAACAGGGAACCAGCTAAGGGTAAGTGCACAAAGGGGTTGTGGCCCTCCAATTAATTGGGAGGAAGAGAAGTCTTGATCAAACTTCTGCGTCTCAGTAAGGGGAACTGAGTACGCTAGGTGGTTGGGTACATCAGATGGTGGTCTGGTGGAGGGAAAAGGGAAAGATTGGGAGGTAGAGTGTGGTGAAGTATCCAGCGCATTGTATGTGTGAGAAAGTACAATCTGTAGCTGACCTGAGTGTGGAGTGGGTAGTACTTCGGTTCCCGGTAAGGCGACTTCATCCGGGCAAGGAACCTCACGAAGCGTGTGTGTGAGTGACTGAGTGGATACTTCACAGGGCCATACAATGGGAGTTGGAGGTTCAAAGGGGGAAAATACACCTCTTGAATGTATGTTAAATAATTTTAAGAAAGCCTTCTCAGGAGCATATGGAGTCAAAATGACGCCAGAGCGCTTGAGAACGTTATGTGAATTAGACTGGCCAAAACAAAATACTGGATGGCCACCTCAGGGAAGTTTTGATATAAATTTAGCAAGCAAACTTTGGTCTAACATCACCAAAGAAACTGGAGGGTGCCCAGAACAATTTTCATATATAGATTCTTGGCTGAGCACATTAAATAATAATCCTCCATGGATAAGGGAATGCAAAGTCCAACAATGCAAATTATTGGCTGTAAAAGCCGAAGCTAGGAAAGGAATCTTGCCAAATAAACTCAAACCCATTTTTGAGGGACCAGAGGAAGAGGTGCTTCCACCTCCACCCTATGCTCCACATCGAGGGAGCCTAATCCAAACACTCCACCAGTTGTAACCCCAAGGCAAGAAAGTGGAAGGAATAATGGGGCTGGAGTCACAGAGCTTGATTCCTTGATAGATTATGATAAATATCTTCAGGAGGCATTGGAGTCCTATAATAAAGCCCAAGCAGAAGTGGTTATTCCACCTGTGAGTCCCAGTAGAACTCCATCTACAGTCTCCTTTAGTGGAACAACTGATTGCCCACCCCAAACCCCTGTACATCCAAGTCCTAGAGAACTATTACAGGAGTTACAGGGAGACTTTGATCGGTCAGTAAGCAATACAGCCAGGCGTATAAAGCTGTTAAAAGAACGCCTTGGGACAAATACTATCCCCTATGATTTGAGGCCCCTAAAGCAAAGCGAAGAGAAAGGTCACGTAGTAGCCCCTCTCAGAAGAGTATTTGATGCACTTGAGGAGCCTGTGCTGGTTAACGGGCAACTCGGACCACGGCCACCTCGAACTTCGACCCTCCAGTACATTCCATTCACAACTACGGATCTGATGAATTGGAAAACACACACCCCGTCTTTCGCAGAAAAACCTCAGGCTATGATGGACTTGGTGACTTCA